GGTGTTATTACTGTGTCTTACATAAAGGAAGGTCTGTCCATGAAAATGTACTGTGTGGACATCTGTCAAGTCTCCAAGACCCATTAGATACCATTCCACCTTCTCTCCTTTGTACATTTCAAGGCCTTGTAAATTTCCATACAGAAAACCATTGATTGCGTAGTTCTGGTTGCTCAATTGGAACCCAGGATCGCTCTTCAGTTCATCAATAGGACCTGGATCCGAGCAGTAGTCATTAATGTTATCGTCCAGATACCAGCTCCTGTTTTCGTCAAATGTGGCGAAAAGCAGAAAGAACTCTCGATCCACGCCCCGACGAGAATTTTCTTCTGTAAGTGTTCCCTGTTGTTGAAAGAAAAATCAAAAACAAAAAGATTCCATTTTCCCGAATGTCTGTTCCGCTGAAGATCATAAAAAGCCCCCGTAAAAATACGGAAAATACGCTTTTCTTCGGCAAAGTTTAACACAAAGAAAGTCAAAATTGAAGCTTCAATTTAGCACTCTGATTAAGTGTCATTATCCGCATTGTTGGATCATTGTATACCTTTTTACAAACAAGAAGCGGTCCAACCAGTCCGGTGTATAAGTCTGTCACCGCATGTGCATCAGAGAAGTATGCCCACGCCAAACAGTCGTCTTCATTCGGTGTTGGTCCTGCTCGCTCAGGGACTTGCCACACATATTTGAACTGTACCCCAGGGGCGACTGCGTTATCGTTTTTGTCATCCCCTGTGGTCCCATCTTGATAATTCGAACCTTCATACTTTTTCCTGTCAAAAAGATATAATGGAGCAAAAATTTGAAGTAAAACAGCTCTCCGCAAAACAAGAATCTGAATAAGAGAGTTAATTTCTTGACCCACGCCTAGCTAAAGTTCACCATAATAGTTTTTTCAGTTCGTTTCTGGCCAATCCAAAGTTCCAAGTGAAGTCGACCGGACGACATTATCAAGAGCAATTGTGAAGTCTGATGCCAAGGCTATGAGCCGCGATAAGAAAATAGAAAACAAGTTAATTGAATATCAAGCTGTCCTTGCTTACTTGTAGAATAATCCATCGGGATGAATCGAATAACTTTTCGTGGCCATATTCTTCAATACAACCTCCACTGTGTCTCCAATCTCCGCTCTAATGATTGGCCCCATAATTCCAAGGTGTTTTTCATAGTCAGTCTTTCTTTCCTTCTTCGTTGTAAAGGTGTTATCTGTAAATTCATGGAAACGCGCTTTCTTGTATTTATGACCGATGCGTTTTGGACCATTAGTGGTGTATGATTTGGCTTCGCTGAAAATAAACGTGAAATTAGAAATTTAATTTACATTGACTGAACGGAAAAAATAAGTGTATATGTGGAATAAAAGGTCTATTAAGTACTTAAGATGGTCTATGTAATAATTACAATCTATAACGCGATATTTATCAAGTTTCAGGAGCTTCAAAAGATCTTTAGCTGAACAAAAATTTTGGA